TATATAGGATTTCCCCGGTATCCTATTTCCCTCGCGATGGTCCGCGGTCGGACCATATTTGGGCATGGGAAGTCCGGTGTCGTCTTCCCATGCGACCTTTGATTTGCGCTCGCGAGGAATTCGCGAGCTTGCATTCTTGCATTTCCGCTCGCTGCTGTGCGTTGCCGAAATGCAAGATTTATCGCGCGTGATAGCCTTTGGGCTATAACAATTTGTATCTGATCATTCTTAAACCAGTTCTTCATGAATTAAATAAAACAAATTGCATTTTTCAGTCAAATTATGTTGAAATTGGAAGCGCGATTGAGAATATCAAAAGACTCATTTTCTTTCTTGCTAAAAAAATTTTGAAACCTTTGTTTGTTCAAAATATTAATGACATTTTAAAAAATACTGATAATGAAATTGCATATAAAGAAATAAATGAAATAGATTTTGGAATTGAGTATTATAAATATTATTGTATGTAAAAACCATAATGTAAAAAACATATTTAACAAAGAATGACATAGATAATTTGGAACAACGAGCGAGTGATTATTTTAAAAAACTGTTACAAGAATTAATTCAAAGATTGCCTTTTAATATTAATCATTTTCAAGGTATTCAAGCATTGAGTCCGAAAGTATGTCTTTCAAAAATAAGACCAAAATTTTCTGATCTTCTTTTTATCGATGTATTCATTGATAAAAAGGAATTGTTCAAAGCTGAATCCGAATATAATTTATTAACTAATGTTGATTGGAATCTCTTATATGGAGATAATAACTAAGCATATTATCTCCATATAAGAGATTTCAATCAACATCAGTTAATAAATTATATTCGGATTCAGCTTTAAACAATTCCTTTTTATCAATGTGTTACGTCCTGAGGACTCCACGATTCTTTTCTTTCGTGGAAAATGTCAAAGTCAGTCGCCGGAAACGGGAAGTCGATTAGCGGCGACTATTTTATTACGTGATGGATTCAAGACTTCCTGCGTTCTAAGAAGCGGACGAGCGAGAGCTTTCAATAAGCGCAAAACTCGGCGGCTCCGGATCAAAAGGGGGTCACTCCGATAACCCCTTTTCCGGAATGCGGCGGCTCCCGACAATCAAAGGAACCCGACCAGGATCCCAGGTATATATATGTCTTCTCTGGGCGACTCGACTCACTCAGATCACGGCAGTCAATTTAGTATTTGTCACGCTGTCATTTTAACGGGCGGAAAAGAACTTAGAATCTGTGCGCGGTTGAAAATCGAGTGCCTAAGATCGCTCCTGGAGAGTAAGAGAAGCCCCGCGCAACCGGCCAGCGAGACCCCAGCGTGAGCCCCCTGCCAGCCTCCCCAGCTCCCTCTCGAGTTACAGCAGGTAGTAAGTCATCATGTTTTTATTTTAACCGGGATTAACTATTAACCGTGATTTGTCTCAAATCAATCTCGTCCTCAGTGCGTCGCGGACAAAATTTAAATGTCTCACCGCAGCCCCCGCGACTCGCGATTAATTCGTGCTTTTCTTTTATAACTACTTCTTCCCTTCCCTCTATCGCCACGATGGAGGAGCTTGTCGAAGAATGAGTACGCCAATATAAGTTACACATACATACAGATACATACATATAGATATAGATACATATAATTAAGGAACATTAATTCCCAAAAATGTTTAATAATATCTTATATTCACCCCCTTGCTTGCGCCCTCCTTTCTATTTTCAATGTCAACCATAAGTAATAATTTCCGCATCTATTCTCTGATATGTTACACACCCATACTTCAAGGTAAAATTAGCTAAATACCATCCGTTAGTTAATCATTACAATTTCGACCCGAATTCTTGTCTTTTTCACAAAATTAATTGTAATC